GGTCAAGATATTGACTTCTTGTATGAGATGTGATGATACGGTAGATGTCAATGTCACATAGGTGGATGTTATAGAAATAAATAATTTAGAGCTTGTTTGGCATTGTCAAAACTGGTTTTTAATATTTAAAATTATAAAATACAAAAATAAATAAACAATAAGAGAGTAACATCAATTCATGGAATTCATTGGACAAAATTGCACTTACAAAAATTCCAGTATCCTATCTGGTGTCTCGTGGCAATTTGACAGAAATTTTCAAACTTCTAGGAAAGTGGAAGTTTGTACAACATGCTTTAGTTATGTGTTTAACAATATGTATTCCATTGTAAAGTTGTATATGCATTACTAGATTTCTTTATGATTTTCTTTGTTGCAGATAAGAACAAGAAAATAGAGGAAAGCAGAAAGGGAAAGATTAGACTAGAAGGGGAAGATGTTGACGTGTATAACGTGTTCGAAGCAAAAAATGGAGGAGGGAGAAGAGGAGGAAGGCCCGCGTGGGACTCCCAGTACAAAAGAAGCCGTCAAAAGCCTGACGGCGCAGGTTCTAATCCTATACCTATCCCCCGTTCCTATTTATTTGTTTTTTTCACTAGCTTGTTTTTCTTTCCTCGTGAAAACAAACAAATATTGGTGGGTCCACCTTTCTGTTTACTAGGGCCCATCTATTCAACATAGGGGACTGTGTCAGTGAGTGTGTGAGACCCATCTATATAACATATGGATGTGTATCAGTGAGTGTGCGTGTGCATATTTTTATATATTAGTTGGGCATTTGTATAGGGGGTGTATCAGTGAGTCTGTGCGAAGCGTATCTAGCATTTATTTTTTAATCGAATCGAAAAAATTGTTAAAATTTAATTCATGAGTCAAGCTTAAACGAGTTAAAAATAAGTCGAACTAAAGTATTTGCATATAAACGAATTGAACATGTCGAGTTTGAGTAGAGTTTGTTTTTTAAACAAACCTAAAAACTTGTTCAAATTCGAACTCGTTTAAAAAACGAACCGAGTCTGAAGGAGTCAAACTCAAATCAAGTTCGAGTAGCTCAGTTTAATTAGCAGCCGTAGACTCATCTATATAATACGTGAGTGTGTGAAGACGGAATAATATCTTTTTATGATAAAATTAATCAATTTGAATATGATTTGTTTTATTAATTATCTTATATGTTGAGATTATATTTCAATTAATTTATTAATCATGTTGTATTTGGATTGACATGAATAACTTGTGGATAAAAAAATCAAGACTATTATGCTTTTATTCTCAACCAAATTCACCACCTTTAGGTGCTCAATAAATTACTGTTCACTTAACTTTCGAATAGCAAAACTAAATAAAAGCTCCTTTAATTCTACGATAATTCACACAATTGATTAGCAAATGTAAAATAAATGAGAATATCTATAAAACAGAATTGTCGTGCCACATCGGTAATTCATATGTAATATTAATTAATTTCCTTAATTATTCATATTAGTGAATTATGTCATTTTTGAATTTAGGTCAAAAACTAATCAATCAATAATCAAAATCATAAATCCCGTACCGCATTCTTATTGTGTTGTATACAGGGTGGAAAACTACCGCCCTGTCTTACTGCGTTATGCCCTACAGTGGAGGACAGGAGGGGTTTTTTTTTTTTTTTTTTACTACGGAGTGTTCAGGGTATTTGAATATTAACCACCATAACTTAAGCTAGTTTAAAACATGTCTCGTGAGAAAACAAGGATGATTAACTCTTAAGAGCAAGAAAATTATTAAATTTGAGACCTTTAAATTATCGGAGGCCAGACTTAATCGTTGAATCTAAATTAGAGGTTAGTTTTTGAATACGTAGGTAGTAACGATCAAAATGTATTTTGGTCCCACGAAGGACCAAAGGTCTAAGTCAGACAGCTCGTAAGGCTTCTTATGAACACATGGGACCCGAGGCAGGGATTTAATTGACTGGGACATAGTTCACGCTTGGTCTAGGACCCAGCATGTGTGCAGAGAAGAGATCGCTTTCTATCTGATATTTCATTAAGAAAATACCAACTATGTTTTGCCGAGGTTTTGGGACTTAGCTTACCTATGTGTGGTGGATGCTTTCTAGTCAATCATATTTTAGCAGGACAGTGGTATGAACCGGTGTGAATTAGATACCTTCAATACCTTTTCCCCCATATTCCTCATTGACAGACCGCCCACAATTTATTAGAGAAAGACTCAATTATATTCAATGTATTTTACTTAAATTCACGATAGGTGATCTACCTAGTAAGTAAATAGGAAAAAAATGTAATGTAGTGGACTTCACTTTGAAAGGAAGTTCAAGGGTGATTGATCAAAGCCGTGACAAAGCATATATTAAGTTTATTAGCTAAGTATAATGCGAAAGGTTGGATTTTCATTTCCCAAATAAGTGATAGGTTTACATTAATGGAAAGAAGTGTTATGTGGTACCCATGCTGCTAGTAGGAGATGGGTGTAAATTAAAATAGCCAAATTCATAAATTGACAATAAAAAATAAAAAAATGAACGGGGTATGGTTAATAGTAATTGGGTTATAATATATAGTAGATTTTTAAGAGATCCTTATGTTAGAAGATCGATGCTACATTCCTATGGTTGATTATGTGGGAGTGGCTAGGACTTTAGAGAACCATAATCCTCCTACTACATTCACACAAAGGAGTTTGAAATGGTTGATTATTTTCATAAAGTTTTGTTGTTTTTTCTCTTCTTTTTTTTTTTCNCTAATCAATCAATAATCAAAATCATAAATCCCGTACCGCATTCTTATTGTGTTGTATACAGGGTGGAAAACTACCGCCCTGTCTTACTGCGTTATGCCCTACAGTGGAGGACAGGAGGGGTTTTTTTTTTTTTTTTTTACTACGGAGTGTTCAGGGTATTTGAATATTAACCACCATAACTTAAGCTAGTTTAAAACATGTCTCGTGAGAAAACAAGGATGATTAACTCTTAAGAGCAAGAAAATTATTAAATTTGAGACCTTTAAATTATCGGAGGCCAGACTTAATCGTTGAATCTAAATTAGAGGTTAGTTTTTGAATACGTAGGTAGTAACGATCAAAATGTATTTTGGTCCCACGAAGGACCAAAGGTCTAAGTCAGACAGCTCGTAAGGCTTCTTATGAACACATGGGACCCGAGGCAGGGATTTAATTGACTGGGACATAGTTCACGCTTGGTCTAGGACCCAGCATGTGTGCAGAGAAGAGATCGCTTTCTATCTGATATTTCATTAAGAAAATACCAACTATGTTTTGCCGAGGTTTTGGGACTTAGCTTACCTATGTGTGGTGGATGCTTTCTAGTCAATCATATTTTAGCAGGACAGTGGTATGAACCGGTGTGAATTAGATACCTTCAATACCTTTTCCCCCATATTCCTCATTGACAGACCGCCTACAATTTATTAGAGAAAGACTCAATTATATTCAATGTATTTTACTTAAATTCACGATAGGTGATCTACCTAGTAAGTAAATAGGAAAAAAATGTAATGTAGTGGACTTCACTTTGAAAGGAAGTTCAAGGGTGATTGATCAAAGCCGTGACAAAGCATATATTAAGTTTATTAGCTAAGTATAATGCGAAAGGTTGGATTTTCATTTCCCAAATAAGTGATAGGTTTACATTAATGGAAAGAAGTGTTATGTGGTACCCATGCTGCTAGTAGGAGATGGGTGTAAATTAAAATAGCCAAATTCATAAATTGACAATAAAAAATAAAAAAATGAACGGGGTATGGTTAATAGTAATTGGGTTATAATATATAGTAGATTTTTAAGAGATCCTTATGTTAGAAGATCGATGCTACATTCCTATGGTTGATTATGTGGGAGTGGCTAGGACTTTAGAGAACCATAATCCTCCTACTACATTCACACAAAGGAGTTTGAAATGGTTGATTATTTTCATAAAGTTTTGTTGTTTTTTCTCTTCTTTTTTTTTTTCACTTAATGTCGGCGAACATGTTTTGTTATTGCTTTGAAAATAATAGGAAATAGCAGTGATTTTTTTTTTAACAGAAACAGGATCAACAATTCTATTTTTTTAAAAATATATTAATAAATAAGTTTAAAAATATAGTAAATATATTTGCAAAATGTTGTACTTTGATAATTGATTCTGCTTTCTCACCTCCCCCACCAAAAAAAAAGAAAAAGATACTTTTCAACTTGTGGTTAGAATTCCAATTCTTTTAAAACGTTCTGATGATTCTGTTTGTAATACCCATTGGAAAATGAAATTGGTCAACAGCGCAGCTCGAGCATTATTTAATGTTTAAGTCTTTGTCAGTTATTCTTTTAACTTGGCATAGGGTGTGAATGCATGTACAATGTCCCTACCCAAAAAAAAAGTGTATACATATAAACATTGGGATCAGAGACATCTCTTGTCTGGACAAAGCTATCCATGACTCACCCTTCTACACTCAAGCTGAAAAAGGCTTGATATACCACGCATTATGGATGCAAATTTCATTAGATTTTATCCAGCCACTCATGTAGTGGGTCCAGTTGCTAAAAATTGAAGCTTTATTAGTGGGCTTGACAGCTACTTAACTGTACACTGGAGGCCATGACACAGAAAAACCAAGGTTTGAGGGTTCTTTTTTTCTGTTTTTATAATATATGATAGCCGTTAGATTTTCTTGCAACCATTCGCAGAGAAAAAGGGGGACAAAGCTGTACAGTCACTGCAGACTGTGAAGGTGACTCGGTCAATTCTTCTTAGGATAGAGTAGTGGGTAGGGACAATATATTCTACGTTCGGCATGAGGATCTTGAGAAAAGACTAGACGCATGTTTCAAAGACCATGCAAGTGTCCTTGACATGACCCACAATGGAAATCTTGTCTACCCACTGAATTTCTAAGGGTTAAAGTGTTAAGAGAGAAGGAAATGCCAGCATGCTAATGGCCAGTGAAATTAATTTGACAGCCATGTACGGGTCTTTCTCTTTAGCAGAAACATAAATGGCGGATTCAGACAGTGTTAGACCAGTAGCTGTGACTCTGGCACTCCCTTCACAAAATGAAGCTGCATCTGTTTTTACATGATGCTGGAGCGTATGACAGTTCTGTGAAAATTGATGACTGCTCCTAATTGATTCTACTCCATTTTTTGGTCCAGTAAATGGCTGACATAGAGAAAGCCAACCGTCCTGTTAAGCACATGTGCTATGGAATTATTTTTCTCACTTTAGAGGACCTGGATGGCCTGATGATAGTGAAATAGTGAAATAGTTCATCAGGGAACATGAAAGTGCGGTTGACAATAGCTATTATTTTTTCCATTACGGATTCATATAATGCGTAGTGAGCTACCACAAACAATGAGAAGCTTTAATAGAAGTCATTTCACATATCAGGTGGCTAGTTAGACTTTTTATTTCATCCAGTTAGGAACTGTTAGGTTGATATTTTAATATAACAGATTCATATTCCATTCTGTTCCTCTTGAAGGGTATTAACTTCATCACACCGGCTCTATGAAGTATGAGCTATGAAAAATGTGACGATTAAATAGTTGCACCCCTTTCATACATATCCATTTACTTGACCACTTTCTGATATGAACGAGGCCCATCCTATTGGTTTTGTTTCAGGCTTTTATATTCTTCATCTAGATCACTTATATGAAGTTTGAGAGGAAGTGGAAAATAAGGTTTCCGGAAAATGAAATGGGGCATAAAGTTTGCAGTTCCTGTTTTTCGAATATGTGATATGGTCTGACAAGTTCTTAGGCTGTGCCTTGGACTTATCAGGACTTGCTAGTGCATTTGGCTGATTTCCATTCTTGGGAATCCAATCTAGATTATGCCTTGATCTTGGTTTCATGTTCAAAGTCAACATACGTACTTGACTAGATTGACCAGCAGTGCGATTATACTGTAGATAAATTATGCAAAACCTGGTAATCAAATGGACCAGAAATACTCCTGAAAACGGACAGAATTCATTGAAATTGTATTTTCTATTTTGTAGAACTGTCTCATAATCGTTTGTCATGTACAAGCTTGTGCTCATGATGATGATTATATAATTGTACATTTTCAAGTTTGGTGCAGGTGACAGCTGTTTTAATTAAAAAAATAAAACTACCGTGCAGCTCACGTTATTCTAAGAGAGCTTTATGTACGATTTTGTGCAGATTAAGGATGTGGCATTGAAATTCTCGGGTGCTTATAAGCAATGCAAGCCCTGCACAGGCTCCAGCAGCTACAAGAAAGGGCAACAGCCATACCCTGAGTTCGATACGATGTCAGAAGGGGTTCCTTACCCTTACTTGCAGCCAGGAAGCTCAAGTTCTACTCCTGCTTGGGATTTTACACGCAGTGGCCACCACCCAGCTTCTGGATCTGATTCAAGGTTTGCTGGAGCATTTGGTGGTGATCGGACCCCTGGTGGACTAGAATCTATCTCAGCCCAGTCTGGTGAAGTGGTAGTAGAGGATGAGGATGAGCCCAAAGAATGGATGGCACAAGTGGAACCTGGTGTTCAGATCACTTTTGTATCTCTTCCTAATGGGGGAAACGATCTAAAAAGAATTCGCTTCAGGTAGACATTTAATGATATAGTATAAAAAAAAATAAAATCTAAACTCCTTACTGGTTCCAAGACATTTTGTTGGCACTTCGTGAGGATACCTGCATGGATTGGTAGCATAACTTCTGTTGATAGACAATTACCTATCCCTGAACCTAGTTTTCTTGAAATTTACTTTTAAGTAGACCAAAGCTAGCTTGCCCCTGGACGAAGTCTATTCCTTAACATGGAAGAGTAAAATTGTTCAAAATCATTTGCGGTTTTCTGTGTTGTAAACCACCCCATTCGGGTCGATCATTCTACTAACCCCTGTCCTAGTATACTTGGCCCATTGAGATACATTTTTAATGATTACATCTTGGAGATGGTCATCAAGTTTGATATTTGTGGTAGATCACCAGTCTTGGTGCCAACTATAGCATTTATTTTTGTCTTCACAGTTACACTTTTTTAACGTGTGAGGAAACCTCTAGCAATGGGCCTCCTTGAAAGTATCTATCCCTAGCAGCTTTCCGGTTGGCATTTAGGAAAAGGTGGCAATGTGATGCAAATTTGCTCTGTTATAAAATTTAATTTACTCCCATATCACAGACTTACAAAATTTGGGTGTGTGAAATTTGAAGCCGAGAGATGTTTAACAAATGGCAAGCTCAGAGATGGTGGGGGGAGAATTACGATCGAATCATGGAGCTGTACAATGTTCAGAGATTCAACCGCCAAGCTCTTCAGACTCCTTCAAGGTCTGAAGATGGGGTAAGTCAGCTTCCCCTTCTGTTTTGACTCCTTTCCATAATTTTAACTATATGGCTGCCCAGGATTTTAATCCAACATAAAATTGCTCATTCTTTTACCTGATGCTGTTTTAATGCCCTCATCCATGAGGATGTGTACTTTGCGGTCCTCATAAGGTTTATATTCACCATGAACTGGTGGTGCCTTCCCCTCTTGCAGTATTGGCTTTCCATTTGAATGTCGCCTGGAGCTTTTCTCTTTCCGGACCTGCTCTAGTAAGGCTATCTTCTGTTTCCCTGCCCAACTAATGGGACCTGAGTAACTGTTAATAAATTCCTAAGAATGGTGGATACCTCATATTTGGAAAACACCACCAAAGGAAAAGAGGCATCATCAGCTCAAAGTACATACTGACAATATGTATATTGTGTTCTCCTGCTATCAGTTGTGGAGACAAATCCACAATTGTTACTTCATTTTTACCTTTTGATGCTATAAAATACCGTAAAACCATTTTACATGCCATTGCCTTATCCAAATTATCTTCCTTTTCCATGACAATTATAGGCATCTTCAGTGTTCAGCATTGGAAGTAATTAACATTTCATTGTTTCAGATGCTGCACACCCTTTTTCAATTTCTTTTCCATATTGGATATCATGGAGGTGTTTTATGTCAATCTTGCCAAATGTAAATCATGATCTCTACCGTTGTCGTGGTTTCCAGCAAATCTATATAAAATGAGAAATTAAAATCTTTTAGCAGACTGGATTTCACTATAGAATTGTTGGATTTCAGATTTTTAATCGTACTGATAAACTGAAATCTAGCAATCCAGTAAACATTGTCTTATGATAAAACCAACAGATTCCTGGGTAACTTCTTCAGGATCAAATACTCGTGTCAAATTCTTCTCGATAACTAAAGTTTCGAATTCCTAAGTTACTTGTATCTTGGTTTAACTGTATATGGACCTTTGTCAACATCCCCTAACTGATACAAATTTCTTCTCTTGTATTGCAGAGAGATTCTGTCTACTCAAAACTTGGATCTGCTAGAGAAAGCCCTATGATGACTCCATCAATACCTAGAGAGTGGACTCCAAGAAACTATTATAACCCTTCTGGCAGTAAAGGTCATTTTCCACCTGATTATTTAGATCAAGGTGGCAATCAACAGTACAATGCAGGGTCGAGTGCTTATGCCACCGGTGGTGCCAAGGGCGAGGCATCATCTTTTGACGCATCGCGGACAACAACGTCCTCCCGAGATGAGGCTTCAGTTTCCATCAGCAATGCCAGTGACATAGAGTCAGAGTGGGTGGAGCAAGACGAGCCAGGGGTATACATTACAATCAGACAGTTAGCTGATGGCACTAGGGAGCTCCGGCGTGTCAGATTCAGGTAATGAAACTGCACGTTTAACTATTTTGGGATTTCTGAAAGCTTTTGTCTCAACCACTATCAACAACATAGCATTATGAGAGTGAAATCTTGAAATCATGTTTCCCTCTCAATTCATGCCCAATTATTCATGACTATAGGTAATTCTTTGGATTCACTAAGAAAAGGTTTTAGAGTATATCACTATCATGAGACCTTTATTTTCTCTTAACCTCTCTTTGCTTATTTGTTAATTGTGATGAATCTTTTTCAGAGTACAAAATTTGTCTTCCAAATGCATTATAAAGAAAGTTTGTCAAGAGAAGAAAAAAAAAGAGGCATTCGGCATAAATGTGGGGAGTTTCTATTATGAACCCAACCGTTGATCCAAAAGCCCCAGTACTTGTGGGAGACTAGAGTTCATAACTATTTGAACGTAACAGTTTTATCTTTCAATTTTCTTTCCACTCCCTGTTTTTCAACTAAGACCCCTGACAAGTTTGAGTGAATTTGTGTATGAGTTTACTAGTGATCATCATAAATCTTCTCTCTCTGCCTTTTTAAAGGGTGATTCCCACTAAGATTTTGGAAGTTTGTGATTTGTTGTGCTTACTGTCCTCTAAACTTGTGTTGCCTGTGTTTTTGCAGTCGGGAAAAATTTGGGGAGGTGAACGCAAAGCTTTGGTGGGAAGAGAACAGGGAGAGAATACAGGCTCAATACCTTTAACCCAATATAAATTACAAATTGTTACTGACTATATTATTGGTCGTTCAAATAGAACAAAGAGCACGAGTGGAATTTCCACAGAAATGTTACCATGGAAGAATGGTACCTTTCCATGATTCCATTTTTTCTTAGCTATGTGATGGTATGGATCTGCCCCTACCATGATATCGTCAACAGAAAGGATTAATTACCCCCCCAAAAAAAAAAAAAAACGATGGTTGAAGGTTCTTCGGTCATTCATGGGGATGGTTTTCTCTTTACAGTGGTCCTTGTCTACAATGGCTCTGATCTAGGGGTTGGAAGTGTGACTTGAATGAATACCTTGTGAGGACAAGGCAGAGACTTGCCCTTTTTCATTGTAGTTAAATTTTTTGGATCTTTTTCTCTCCTCAAGTCATTTATTCCCTCCGTTCCTAAATATCTGTCGTTTTATATAATTTTTTTTGTTCCATTATATTTATTGTTTTATGAAACCAAAGCATAATAAATATTTTTTTTTCAAATTTATCTTTATCTCTATTTTCTAATAAGCGCTCAATAGATTAAGTGTAGGTTAAGTGTTTTTCATATTTCTTTTCTTCTCAATACGTATTGAGTAAGGGTATTTTAGTCTTGTGTAATTATTTTTTACTAATATTAGAGCTATTTAATGACTTCCTTAATTCTTGTACAAAAACCTTAAACGATAAATATTTAGGAACGGAAGGAGTAGTTATTAGGACCTTACGTAGTCAGTCATCTCTATATTGAAATTCATATTTTGTTCTTTGTAAAACAATCTTTCTAGTACTAGAAATGGAATTGGAAGCTCGTTATGTTTGTCCTTGAGCAATCCTGGTGCAACACAAAATCCTAGTAGTAAAAATGAAATTTGTTACCATGCGGTTGATTAATTTTTTTGATTAATGCTTGAGTTCAAATCTCCACAACTATAACAATTCAATGTGACTAAACTTGCTTTTCAACGTCTAAGGCACACAGTAAGACCTTAACTTCAACTCCAAACCGATGTTATAAGATCCCCTACAAATAACTATATTGTGTTTAAAAACTGAAAGACAATGCACCATATGAGCAGTAATTTATCTGTATAACTATGTACTGTATCAAAAAAAAGGAATATTCTTGAACAAACTGGGTGCATATGGCCTACCTGAAGATGGGAATAAAGTTATGTCGCCGGAAAATATATTTTTGCTATGATACCGAAAGATGGTCTACTTTTATTTGTGATCTTTGACCGTGAAANAGGAATATTCTTGAACAAACTGGGTGCATATGGCCTACCTGAAGATGAGAATAAAGTTAGGTCGCCGGAAAATATTTTTTTGCTATGATACCGAAAGATGGTCTACTTTTATTTGTGATCTTTGACCGTGAAAATAATAAAGTCAAGAATGTGGCAATAAAAATACATACAGGCAATTATCAAAAAAGGCAAATATCTCAACATCGTTATCCATTTGTTATTACAGAACTCGAAGCACACATTGATATTAATTTGTAAAGGTACTGAATTTGACAAGTATCAGTTCCCGCAATGACTTAAAAACAGAGCACAAAGAAATCCAACACAAGCCTCAAATCATATACGAACCATACTGTAAAGGACTGTTGAAACGACCAGCAATGGATCTAACCAACACAAAATAGAAAGGCTGGTATGTTAAGTCTTGCTAGTTCATCAACGCACACGATAATAAGTGATGTCGGAGTAAAAGATAGTCAATGAGTGCATTCACTGTTTGCAACTAGGGAACAATACCCTTTTTATTTTAACACAACATTATCACACCTCTAAACAGAGCTTTTCTTCATCCGACTACTTTCCGCGTGCAATTTCTTCCAGGCAGAGTCTCCTGAGATCGTCTAAGAATCCAATCAGATTGGTCATGCCATCCTCCAGCCTTCAGTTGAGGAGGCAATGACTGCCTCACAGGTGGTCTACGAGAACCAACTGTCATGCTCGCCAACTTCTCAGCTGTATCAGAAACAGAACGTGCCTTTTCCATGCGATTTGCTGCTGCCAACCCATGTAAGCAATTCCATTAGCTCTGAAGGCACGATTAGACATTACTAAAATAAACTTCATTGCCGACTATAGGTTTTTTCACCAGCTATAGCAACAACCTTTATGAGGTGGTCTTAAATGATTTATGCTTAGTTATGTTCAGGGAACTAAATATCGTTTTGAAACAGTCGTTTAGGGTTTAGGCGAGACGGGCAAAAATTTCTGTTTCCATGAAATTCCATACGAATCAATGATCAAGTACCGAAATTCCTAGGTTCCCACGTGTCCTAGATCTGTTTTAGCGTGTTTCGGTATGTTTCGATTAGTGTTTCACAAATAAATTTCCAATTTTTTTCTTTGTTTCCATCATATTTTCGAATTGTTTCCAAAACATTTTCGTTTCCAAGCTGACCCAAACTATACACCGAAAAGAAATTTTGATCTTTTGTTATACACTTCCTATACAGATGACATATGCCTGAAAATCATAACATAAAAGAGAAGTTATTCTCAATACACACCAAAACATCCATCATTCAAAAAAAAACTCCAACGCGTATGATAATTCAGGCGGAGAGTGTTGTGAGGTAAGGGCGATGCAAAGAGCTAAAGGGGTGGTTATAGTGTGAGGTGCAACAAGTGCAATGCATGACCTGGTGAAAACTATAGCATCAAGACCGAGGGATTCAGAATTTATAAACCAAATGAGAAAAAAGAGATTGAAGCAAGCGATCACAGGTTCCAGACAATTGATCAAATGAAAAACATATATGATAGCCAAGGAGTATGCAAGCTTACAAGGGCTGTTCCTAGCATGTGGCCGATATCTTGGCTGTTGCTTCACAGAGCTCTTCATGGATTTATCATTCTTAATAGCATCCTAGGGCCATCAACCAAAAAGGGAATATGGGTGAGAAATAAGGAATATAAAAACACAATGAGAGTCCAACAAAACCCACCACCACTAATAATACTTATCCCAAATATGCACCACACCTGATAATTCATCTCCAACTTCCGTTGCACACCTGTAATACTTGTATGAATTAGATGAGCAGCCAAAAGTATATATCTGTACCTCACTTGGAAACAAAGACAAGCATGTGCCAACAAATCGTCGAAACTGACTTATAAATCTTAACTGCAACAAAGAAGCATATAGTACTGATAACCATAACCTCAACAGAATCTCTTTTTTCCATCCCATTCTTTCTAATAACTAACACCTCTAGCGTCATTCAAGAAAAAGGGACTGATAGCTGTCAATCACACTTTCCCCATCTTCAAGTTTTCCAAAATCCCTCAATTTTGCAAACCTTCTTTATAATTGACACCAGAAAGGGTACTCACATTTCAGATCAGATCATAAAAAAGGCAAGTATAAACAGCATTCTTCCTGGCACACACAAATGAAATTGTGACGTGTAAAGCACGGGTAAAGATTNCTTTATAATTGACACCAGAAAGGGTACTCACATTTCAGATCAGATCATAAAAAACGCAAGTATAAACTGCATTCTTCCTGGCACACACAAATGAAATTGTGACGTGTAAAGCACGGGTAAAGATTTGTTTAAAGGCAATAAAGGCTGATGCTTCTTTTGAATTCAGCCAGAAGTTCACCGTCACTTAATGGACACAATAAACACGTCACAGAAAACCACAAATTTCCCCCCTCCAATAATCCCCAAGAAAAACATACTTTAAAAAAATTAAAATCCAATTCAGATGATAACAATTAGACATCTAATACATGATAATAGCCACAATATAATCGGAACTAAGATTATGGTAATCGTATCACTGGTATCCCACCTATGCTTAACAATTCATTTGGTTTGGTGGAAGAGAAGTTGCTTTGGGGTTTTGGGTTAGATGAAGGCCCAGAATACTTTCTAGCACATCTCTGCTCCAAATCTCCCCTTGTTCCAGCTGCAAAAATTCCAGAGTATAAAACTCCTATTAGTAGTCATTCTTTGTCATATAAAAGTGACATTGAGGCTGAGGGACAAACCAGATGGTGGTGTTCTAGCAACAGCAGATCTAGAACGAAGAGATGGAGGAACATAAAAGCAACTCTGCCACACCAAAGAATTCTATTATTGCAATCTATACTTTTAGGGCTACTAAAATTATTCTGTATAGAAGGAAGAATTTCCAACCTGGAAGAAAGGATGCTGAAGGGCCTCCAAGCCTGTTGGCCTCTTGCAAGGATCCCACGAACAAAGCAACTACAATTGTAAGACCAGATATAACAATTGGAAAAAAATAACAAGTTGGCTAATAAAACAATCAATCTTCATGTCACCTCATTTAAAATAAAAGGTGCTTGAATCAATAAGATTTCCATTTCTAAAAAGTCAAATCTAAGCCATAATGAAGCCTTTTTAAAGCTTAAAAAAATAGAGAAAGAAAGGAGGAACAGCCATGGCTGCTTATTTACACCGGTACTTACTGTAATAAGGTTAATTGCATCATTACTTGCAGATGGTATTAGCGCAGAAAGATGGACACCAGCAAGCTGCCATGTTAAATTACCATAATTATAAACAATTCAAAAAGACATAAAGGCAATACAATGAGTCTTCATCTATATTTAAAGCAAAAAAAAAAAAAACTAAAAACATCAGCAAACCCTTTGCCAAGTGACTTATTAATTAATGCAACAGAACAAGTTATATTCAGCTCTTACACTGAAGTGCCACTCAATTTACAAAAACCAAATAATTCTCACACAAAGAATCATTTTACTATTGTGTCTAAATGCAGACTCCTTTAAACAGCAAAAATTATTATGGCAGCAAGCAGTTTGATGCCAAAAATGCAGGCTTATGCATTTAACACTGTTCCTTTACAAAATCTTAATTTTTTATAGTCTCCAAAGAAACTTCTTTAAAAAAGCAGGAGAATAAATATGAATGTGCCTTGAATATACCAACAACCAATTGCATTTGCAACATCCAAATAAACTGAAAGACAACTCACCTGCGGAAACTGGTAACTGATAGCACTTGCAAGTTCAAGACCCTCAGCCCATACACTTTCTGTAGGGCTGCCTATCACACTGCATATTTTATAGATCTCATCTGCTTCACTGCAGCCATTATGAGAAAACAGAACATAAATTTGAAATAACAGCATTCATAGGAAAGAATAAATAGAAAATACATGCAAGTGGAGTCCAATCACACGAGTGCATCAAAAAAAATTGCCAAGCAGATCATGTATTAGTATCTCCACACAACACCCCCCCCCCCAAAAAAAAAAAGAAAAAACAAAAAATATATATATAAAACCAAAAAAACCAACTATGCTCAAGGACAAAAAAATACACAGATTTCAGTATCCCTAATCAAATAAATTGAGCTAAGATTGTCACCTTCTGAAGTGACGAATGAGGAAGCTATATAGAATAGGATGCAAATGTTATTACCTTGAACCAGGGAAAAGAGGACGGAGACTCAGTAATTCAGCCATAATAGCACCCATTGCCCACATATCTGGCAGCATGGAAGAAAATAAATTATGATTGCAGAACTAGAAGTCTAATAAACAATAAATGATTGTCTGTATTCTACTCACCAACAGCAGAACTATAAATTGGCGACTGGAGAAGAACCTCTGGGGCCCGATACCTGGCAGGTCCACGTTTAGCAGTCAATAAAGCATACCGCCAAGCAGAACTAACTTGTACAATGAAGATGCATAAGAAAACATGCAACTTGAGNGACTGGAGAAGAACCTCTGGGGCCCGATACCTGGCAGGTCCACGTTTAGCAGTCAATAAAGCATTCCGCCAAGCAGAACTAACTTGTACAATGAAGATGCATAAGAAAACATGCAACTTGAGAATGAAGAAAGCACCCACCAGCGTGTTGAAACATACTCGGTAAATGGTGGTTGGGAACTGATCTCACGAGCAAGACCAAAATCAGCAATTTTTATAATGTCTTTAGAAACGAGCAAGTTCTCTGTATGAATATGCAATCGAATATAATAAAACATGGTTAACATTAGGATCATACAAAAGGCATTATTTAAATCAGTAATAAACAAAGTAGCAAGTTCATACAAAAAAATCCTAAATTATTTTAGAGTCTTTGTGTGCACACTTAAGAAATATCTAATAGAATACACGAGATGGAGTTCCAAAAGCTAACACATCAGACATTAAATTCAATGCTTATTCACAAAGTATGATTATAGTCGATAGCACAGATTCTACTACTATTGGTAAGACAACACACAAGCAATTGGCATGCACCCTGAAGCATATAGAATCAAATAAAAAGTTATAAACTACAAGCTTTATTGCCAGATTTCACAACAATACACAATACCACATCAGAACACTTTTCACCAAGATATACACCTTAGGATGGACTTGATGCAGTAAGAGGAATTCTCATAAGTCCAAATAAGAAGTAAGCTACAAAAACAACTCAGTCAAGGCCAAAACGAAAGATGTTGCATCATGGTAAGACATATGTGCCTCGATCGTTAACGCAATAGCAAAAAAAAAAAATGCTGGTAAATTCAAAAGCACTACACAGGTAGTCTTTGACTCGAGCCTCAATCAAAATCATTGAGAACTGTGGCAACAATCACCTGGCTTAAGGTCACGATGGAAGTATCCACGCTGATGCATGTATGCAAGACCTTGAAATACTTGGAAACACCAATTTCTTACTTCAGATTCAGAGAAAAGTTTTCCCCTATCCTTCATGAGCTGGTATAGGTTGCATTCCTGGAAAAAGTATAAATGATACAAACACATTATTAAATGGGCAACTAAAAGACAACGAGCACATTGCCAGAATGAAGGTGGCACAAACCATGTACTCAAACACAAAGTACAAGATGTCATGTTCCCTGATGACTTCCTTGAGCTTCACAATATTTGCATGGTTCATTTTCCTCAATGACTGCCAACAGGACAGATTTCAATTACATCTATCACCAAAAAAGAAGCCAAAGCAAAGGAGAAAAGAAAGCAAATTATATCACCTTGACTTCTCTCAAATTTATGCATTCCTCCAAAGAATAGTATTTTTTCTTCATTTTTTTAATTGCAACCTGTTGATACAAACAATTAATTTTAAAATAACATATTCAACAGTCAAAAAAGTGTGTGGTTACATTTTTCGATTTTTATGACAATAATAGACTTACTACTTGACCAGTCTGCTTATTTAGCGCTCGCCATACAGTCCCAAAAGTTCCATTACCAACTTCCTTGATCATCTTGTACCTGCACCAGCCACAATCGATATATACCTGATCAACAGAAATTCAAAAGGTAAATACAGAATGAATAAATAAATAAATGCCCACAAATCCAACACACCTTTCCATTCTTACTATTCAAGTATTCAACAGCTTCAACTTTTTTATTGATCAAAAAAGACTGATACAATTCTGTCTTTACAGTGGATGATCACTGAAAACTATGAAGTATAAACTAGCAGCCTTGGTGATCCAGCTAAATCCACCATTAATTTCCGGTTGGACCAAGCTTGTGCACAAAACCAGTATGCTTCTGATGGACCAGCTTCACAGCTTTATTCATAAAGTACGCCAGATCAACAGCTTCAAAACGATGACAAGGCATAGAAGGCAAAGAAAGTCGAGAACTGCAGGACATCTTGACACCAACCCAGAAACTGAATGATGAAGAACACTATACTAGCCGCGAGATGAGATTCTTAGCTCACAACATAGTCAACGAACTGAACCAAAATTGGGATTCACATCCCAATTCCTCTGTCAACAGAATTGACACTCTTAACAGGTAACCATCAACAGGAAAGAGTCAAAAGACAAAGTATTGCTAAGAACTACCAACTCAGCACAGCAATGCTACAGGCTTATCTAACAAAACCGCATATGCAAATTTTATTCATACACTTGCAGACTTCAGACCTGTGATTGGGAGAAAGAAAAAAAACAAAGATACAACATTCAACAATCACATTTCACAGATACCAAAAATGTATAAAGAATACAAGAACTGATGCATGATCAGATGAGCAGTGCACCGGAAGATGGTTTCCAAAGGATTTTCAATAGAGGTTGTATCCATAATACACTAGAATTGAAAAGATTGTCATAGAAGATTAACAATAAATTCAAGATCAATTAAACTGCCTAAGAAGTATTGAATATGCAGCTTACTTGTTAAGGTTCACTAAAGATCCCACGCATCTCTCAGTCTGCATTATGCCTCCTGTACTGATCATTTATGAGGAGCTGTTCACTAAGTGCAATTGACAAAAGAAACGAGAAGGAAATCTCCAAGGATGAGAAACCGGCAAACAAGCACTGGAAAAATCCGATGCCGGCAGCAGTCTGACCAGAGGCACACTTGCTCCATGTCCTAAAGGAAGTTAAGTTCTTCAAATCGAAGTCTGAAACAACCTGATAACACAAGATAAAATTTTAGAAGAGGTAATATAGGACACCATGACCAGTAGCACCCCTACTTGAGATAACATATATAGGCCTCGTCTATTTCCTCAAGAATCATATTAAAAACGATAACATTACAAGAATGCAATTTCACACTAGTGCAGCCATGGAAAGCGAGTGGATGGCACCAAAATCTTCCGTCTGATAATATTACCATGCACAAACAGACATACTAATTAGCTATGTGCTGGGCATTACCTGCATCATGCTATTGGCATTCAGTATGCGACAAGTAACAGCAATTCATTATTGTAACAAACCGAGGTTAGCAACATACTTCCAGAAAATAATCAATCAACTCAAGCCTATCTCAACCGGAACATGAATTCTTGTGACATATGGCAAGGAAACATACCAGACCTTAAAAAAGTTATATTGAATATATCTGTTTCCACTTTTTCACTAAAAACACGACTTCATAGTTGATAACCACAAGATTATAGCACCAAGTAGCTCTAATATACAGTAAGCTCATGTCGATCAATTCCTTTCCCTCGCAGGCTTCCAAATATTGTTGAATCCAAAATCATATATCATAGTGAAAGTGCCTACAACAGTTAGAATTTAGAAACAAGTCCTAATGACCGCAACGGCCAAACCCACAAACCTTATCTCCACCACAACTTCGTTGCCTAGATTCAAAAATCCTAATAAAAAAACTCACAGGCTGCTAATTCAACGAATTGACATCTACAAAAATCAACAACCAAAATTTAACAAATTGGTCAGATTCAAATAAAATACATCCAGAAACCTAGACAATTCATCAGGCCAATCTAACCACAAAGTTATGGCCACCTCGAAACTCTATATAATCCCCTGATCCCAGACATTTCGATTTCAAAACTACTTGGCCAACTTTCGGGATTACATCTTTCAATGGAATTTTTGTTTTTACCAAAGAACAAAAACATATTAATTAGCACCCCAACCAAAGATCCAGAAATAAAAGATCAGATGTAAACGAAAACAGATAACAAGAAATAGCATTTCCAAAAACCTAAGTGAAAGCCTAAAAGATGTGTAATCTATATAGCTTACACTAATTTCTCCCGATATCAAAGCAATTCAATAACAAAATCACAATCCGAACGCAGTAATTCAAATTAGAACTGAAAGTTGTTAACTATAACGAAACCCTAACCTTAGATCTCCGCAAACGAATTCAAACACCTACCGTATAAATTCAGATCTGATCTCAAAACCACATCGCGTAAACACAACACAGACATCCACACACAACTATATACAGACACCCATATAGAGAGAAAATAGAGAGTTACGGGCAGGGGAGGGGAGCGGGTTACCTCGGGGGAAAACGGCATAACCTACTAATGACGCCACGCCACGAGAGGGCACAGGCCGAGACTCCAGAGCTCTGTCTCTCTCTCTCTCCTCCGATTATGTGTCTTCCCTTGGTGGACAAGGATCTCTTATGGGCCTGCCAATTATTATATATTATATATAGGTTGAATTGCACTTTGAACCCTAAAAGTTTAAGAATTTCACTTCATGCCCATAAAGATTACATTATCCATTTTATATTTCAAT